AATTGATGCACCGCCACATGTGTGGAGGAGAGACGGCCAAAAGCATGCGTAACCAACCGCGTGGGCCTTTGGTTCTTTTGTTGCCTTCCATACCCTGCTCCGTAGGCTCCTCCTCTTTCGCTGCCCAATTGCGACGATGACTTTCTTCGACTCACATTAATTCCAACGGATCCTGATCCGTCTCTGAGCCCGAGAGTCCTGCGACCTGCCTCCTCCGGCCGGTCATCGTCCTCTGCTTGCTCCACCACGGTCCCCACGGCTTCTTGCGTTTATTTTACCTTAGCCTCGTTTTAGCCTACAAAGAAGCATCTTCAAACCCGCTGCCTAAAATAGCTACATATCTCTCTTCTTCTTCTTCTTCTACCTAAGACATCCATGCATCATCCAAGTCTTCACTTGCAGTTGCTACCCTTCACTTCCCAACAATCACCACGTAGCCCCGAGATAGATTACAACATACCTTGGTGACCACATCTCTCCGTCACAAGAGGCATCAAGCTGTCAGAATACCTAGATCAAAAGAACAGAAAACAGGATCATGAGAGATGAAACCAAATACTTAGTATACAACACCACGTCAGTCTTGCGTGCGCCACACCATCACGGCCTGCGGGGAACCCAACACGGAAACAAGCTGCCAACCAACGGGGCCAGCAACGACGTCAAGCCACATCTGGAACGTCTAGCACCCCTGGATCGTCACTGCGCCCTTGCAAGTTCTAAGCTTGAGCTCATGCGATGGCGGATAGCTTATACTCGGGGCCCAAAAGTAATGCGTATATGCATGCCAGTCTTTGTGCATTCTCTATCGTATCTGTACTATGTCCTTGGTTCCCCAAGGTGCTCCCCGCCGTCTCTGCCGGCACTGGGAATTGTCTTGGCCATTCCGATTCCATCCAACGCCATGAACCCATCTCCCCAACCCGTTGATGTATGTCTTGAATACGGGAGAAGAGAAGTAAAAATGAAAGACCGTTTCGATGATACCTTTCTGCCGGACCCTGTCCTCAGGTCCTCCTGAGCCTTGTAGGCCTATGAAAAAAAAAAAACAGAAAGAAAAAAAAAAGCGCTCGTGTCATTCAGTCCCAAGTATAACCCAGTGAAATAGATGGGCCTGATGCGCTTCCTGGCTACCTTCAGCAATCTCCTTGTGAAGCCGTCCCTCGTCACCACTGAGGGCACCTTGCTCACCATCCCCTTCGACTGATACCGCGAGGTTCAAAGTCGGCTCGACTGCCAGATCCAGAACCAATGTTGCCACCACCTCGGCCCTCCTCCAGACTTCTCCGCGATTGCGCATCCATTTCTGACATATCGAAAAGGAGCGGCTCTTCATCCATCAAGTCATTCTCGCCGCGTCCGTACCGTCCAATGGACCCCGTGAAGCTTCCCCTGGAGGACTGAGGAGGCGTCTGGCCTCGTCCTCCCGTGGATGCCATGCCAGCGTAACGACGCCTGCCAAATGGCGAACTGGATGGCGCGACTGCCATCAATCCACCTGGGGGTTTGGATCCTTCTGATGAACCCTGCCTCATCATCTCTGCCGAACCTGAGGACGGGATGTCTGCTGTCGGCTGCAGCGAGCCCGCTGCTCGGCGAGACGCAGACTCAGCTTCAGTCTGTCTTCCCAGCAGCATGCTGAGCGTGGGCGGCTCGCGATCCTCTGCCCCCAAGCTGATGCTGCGATTGGCGGCGAAGGCTAGATCCCCGTCTTCATCGTCGGCCATGGCCCGGTTCTGCTGTGCCACCGAGCTAGACCGTCTAGGGTGGGTGCCGATTCTGGGAGAGATGGGTATGTCAATGGCAGTGGTCCCATCCTGGGTGATGGTGTCCTCTCTAGGCATCTGTGTGTTCTCTGCACTGGGATTGGTGCGGTCGCTTCGCGGCTGGCTTGTGTTGTAGTTGATGATCGAGTTCTCGCTCAATCGTGAGGGGACAGCAGGCGTATGAGGGGTGTGAGGAGAGAGAGGCTTTCCGGGCGAGGAGGAAACGGATACTGACGCTGGCGCGGCCATGCTTGGCACGTTGGACAGCTGCCGACTGGATGAGCTTGAGGAGCGCTGCATTTGCATCGACGAAGTCATTGAGTCTGTCAGCGCCTGGTTCGACTCCTTCATGAGGTGAAACCTCGAAAGCTGTGCGACTGTCCGATTCGTCGCGCCCTCGCCCTTCTTGCCTGACTCGAAGCTCTTGAGCGTCTTCTTGCTATCCAGCGCCTTCAAGAATTCCGAGATCTGATCGTCATCTGTTTGGAGCGATCCGGAGCTGCCGCCTGCACTCGCTTCTGCTAGGAGACCTGATCCTGGCTGAGCCACTGACGAGGATAGGCTTTGTCGACCGCTGCTTCCTTGCTCATCATCGCCGGCTTTGCTAGCGCCGCCAAATGATAACCGTCCTTTGCGATGAGTAAAACTGCTGCTGTACCGACTTGTCGAAGACGGCCGGGGCGAGCCTACTACGGCTGTTTCGGCCGGTGGAGGGCCACCTCGTAGGGTGGCAGGCATTCCTGCTGTCAGTGACGTCCGATTGCGAGGTTGTGTAAGAGCATTAAGTGCCGCCGCGCGTGAGATGGGAGATGCGGGAGATTCGGAATCGAGAGTTCGAGGCACGGGGGATCCAGACAGTGACCCAGCCTTGAATGGCTGGAAAGAGACGGACGGACGTCGGCCACTGCTGCTGAAGCCCTTCATTGAGGGCCTTGTTGCGAGGCCGGTGACGGGTAATGAATTTGGTGGGTTCAGCTCATTGCTCGTGGGAGCAGACCCAGGCGGAGAGCTCGTGTCAGATCCAGGGGGCTTCACAGCCTTGAGAGCTGATATAGGGCTAGTGCCCAAGGCTCCCTCCCCGTGAAAGGTTGAGAGACTGCCGTATGTCTGGTGCATATCTGCAAGAGTCCTACTCCTTCTGTGAGACGGAAGAGAACCCACCTCGGGGTCGTTTCGTCGGGTGCTTGATGCCCGCTGGGGCAGCGATGGCTTGAAGAAGTTCTCATCGACGCCCATGAATCGTGAGCTTAGCAACGCCTCTGAGTCGTCCACTCTGAAGTTACACTCATTTCTATAAGTGACTGATGCATAGAAGCGACCAACCGGTACCTCCAAGTCGCCAAAAACGTAATCAGTTACGACATCCGGGCGACCATCGTACAACGGATGCCTAAGCCGGTCGATGCCGCCGGTGTCTAGTTCGCCGGTTCGGATACGGCAACGGGGTTCTAATGAAGGATGGACGCCTTTTGTTGCAGATGCTTGAGAGAACTTCCAGGCAGGAAGAATCCTGGTTGCAACGAAGAGAGACCGAAAGAAGACGATGCTCTTTTTGTAGATGGTTGGCAATATTGGGCCAAAGTCGTCCGGGTCGGATGTGGGAAATGTCTTGAGTTCAATGCGCCATCTTTCGAGTATCACCTCCGTGTTTCTCTTTGTGGGCAGAGAGCGGCCGTCGTCGCTCGAATCGGATGAGTTGAGAGCTTCCATGACGTCCCATCTTTTACCATTTTCGTCCACAATGACCAGGCTCTGACTAGGGGTTAAACGTGATGTATCGAGATAGGTTTCGATGATGAGGGGCATAGGCTTGTTCTCGAAGCTACCGCAGTTACGCCAAATACGAAGCTCCTCTTTGAAGTCGTCGAATTCTTCCGTCTCGATTTGAAACTAAGGAGGCACAGGCGTCAGTACCCAGCTCTGCAAGCGATACCAGAGGTTGAAAACGAGCCAGCACTCACCCATTTGTTCAGCTTCTTGTTCCCAGAGCCACGAGCCGCATATATGGGCTTCAGGTTCAAACGTGATTGCAATACCAGTGATGCAGCTTTGGTGTGGAAGTTCTGCGCTCGAATTAGTGGCAGATCTTGGCTATGGCACCTTTTGACCTCTGTCTCATAGTACACACCTGAATTATCTGATCCAACTTCTTGACGGCATCTGCCGAAACGGAACCGGGTGGCGTCTCGATGGTGGGTGACGCTGCGGCAGAATCGCGACCAGACGCTCCCGAGCTAGCCCTTTCGCGTGTACCAAGCATTCCTTCTCTCGGGTTGTTCGTTCTTGTGGGATTCGTCTGGGGCGCAGAAGCGGGGGAAGAGACCCGTGGGGCGGGTCGAGCTTGCTGATGCATCTTGTCTGGCAGATTGCGGCCCCAAGGGCAAGTCTAGGACAAGATTGATCTGAAAAGCCGCCGTGGTAGGCTAAGCTTCGGGAAGACAAGGACGAGCTGTGTGTTGCGAATTCGTGGAAGTTCTAGGCGGCGGGGGAGAGGGTTTTCGCGATATCGAAGTTGGGGTGGTACCGAACTTGCTCATCCATCCTTCATGACAACTGCAAAGGGGAGTGAAACACCTCGATACCCTCGGTCGTTGAGCGCACAGCGAGGGGAGAATCGGCCGGTCGGGGGAGGAGAACTCGTAGGGCGGGCGGAGAGAAAGTAGTTGTTGCAACACCCTTTTGGAACGGCGCGCAAACGACGCAGGCAACGACGGACAAGGCGACAAAGCCAACGTGGAGACGGGCGGCGAATGGTGAGAAGCGATATCGCACAAACAGGCCAAGGGCGTTAGGGAGCCGAGCTGGATGACTGCAGAACCGTAGAACGAGGGCGAGGGCGAGGGCGAGGGCGAAATGGACAAGCTAAGCGCTGCCTTGGACCATGGCTCTCGGTTGCGTGCGGTACAGAGCAGGAAAGTCGAAACGAGAAGCTGTGGCGACAGAGGGGAAGCTTTCGCCAAGCAGGGAAAGCGACTTCCTAAGCAGGTCCTCCAACAGCAACGCAAACGAGCCGCTCCAAAATGCGCGGCTGGTGTGGTTATCCGAATTCCAAGAAGGACGGAGCAGTTCAGAGAAGAATGGACGGCGATGTGCGGAGTTGCGGTGCCGTGGTGGTCGAGTCGGAGGTTATCGGCGCTGGTGTCATCCGCTCAATGGTTGTTGAGCCTCGTGATCGTCGACAAGTACCCTTCCGTCATCGAGTCACCTGGGTGGGCCAGCAGAGTGGACTGTAATTCAGGCAAGCAAGTAAAGCGGTGTATACTTGTCGATGCGTTCGTACCCAGGGAAGAGGGCAGGGAAGGCTAAGGATGGCACAGAAGAAGAAACAGGCACAGCAGAAAGATCAGACGGGATATGCTGACTTGAAGAGAGCGAGGAAAGTGTAGAAGAGTGATGATGGGGGAAAGGTTGTGGTGAGTACTTTGGAGAGCAGAATGGAGATTTAGCGTTGTCAGAATGGGGGCCAAGGGCGATAAGGCGCAAGGGCCAGAGGTGATGATGCAAAGAGGACAAGAAGAAGTAGATAATGGGGTACGTTGAGGTAGGCAAAGACAAAGGGATTGTTGTCTGAGCAGTTGCTGGGTAATTTAGGAAGAGAGACACAAGATGAGGGAGGGCGAGAGGTAATAGAGTAGATTTGGAGGTAAGGTACGAGAGGCAGAGGATGATGGAAGAGAGATGGGAAGGGAGAGACGCTGAGCAGCCGATGACATGGATCTCTCGTTGGAGCTGTCTGAGTGTGTGGATAAGCACACAACAAAGTAACTGCGTGTAGGTATAGATACAGAGCTTGGTAGTGACTTGGAGAGACTCACCACCTCACCTCAGTGATGGGGACAGAGGCTCACAGAGAAAGGAGTGACAGGGTACCTACCTAGGGTAGAGGTAGGGGGCAGGAGAGGAGCTGGCACCGGCTGGTCTGGGTCCTGCAGCGGCAGCGCATCCGCCCCGGCATGAGGTGCTGCTAACAGCCTGGACAGTGGAAGTATCCGTGGGAGAAGTACCAGGCCGTGCAGGCCCAACAGCAGCCAGTAGCCGCGGCATGGGGGGGGGGGGGGCAGGGCATGGAGCAGCAACAGGGGGAGCATGGATGGGCTCGATGGGGCTGCATCTGTGATGGGCGGTGGACCAAGACACACCCGTGCATGCATCGTTCCGTTAGGTTGACTGGAACAGGATGGGATGGGATGGGACGGAACAGAGCTGGGGTTTGAAGTTGCTGCAGGTGTTGTTGTTTGTAGTGTAGCACCGCAGGACAAGATCAGTTGGTGTTGTTGTGTGAATTGCTGTCTTCTATTGACTGATGATGAGCGTTGTTGGAGTTGTGGAGTTGTGAGTGTGTTGCTTTCCATTTCCTCAGGCACGATCGCAGGTGGACCAAGTACGTAGAGACATGGTGACATACAGTGGAAGCACCTTGATGTTCTCTAAAGTATGAATGACGGGAAGTACATGGTCAAAGTACCATGCCTTGCTCTTGCTTCCTGGTTGTACTTGCACCTTTCGTTCGTCAAGATGCATAGTAGCACCGGCCTTCCCATTGTGTGACGGCGGCCGTGGGGTGAAGACTCCCATTCTTCCACTTTTGTCTCTTGAAATGCCTCCTGCATGCTCCTCATTCAATCACCAAGAGTCTTTGTGTTGCTTCCCTGGGCTCGATTGATTACCCCCAGCTGACCTGAGGATATCGACATACCGCGTCGAGAGATGTCAACAAAGAAGACCCAAAAAATGCAGAAAAGAAGAAAGGAAGACGAAAAAGAGAGAGGCTGAGGGGTGGCACGGATTGCCTTCCGAGTCAGAGTCACCACCATCATCCTCAAATCGACATGACTCCATCTCTGACTCCAACTCCAACTCCAACGGTCGACGGCGGTCAACCAAGCCCAACCTAGACTTCGAGGCTCAACTTCTTCTAAGTTCTTCCTCTAGGCTGCCACTCGCCAACTTGAGCAAGTCCATCGCCAGCTGCATGTATCATGTATGGGGCGCGCCCGGGACTGCACCTCGTAGTCATACAGACACTTGCCCCGATACGGAGAGGTCAGGCAATCAAATTCACGGGGATTGGCTCTCACATCTTTGACGCTTGAGTCCTGGAAGTCCTCCGGGTCGCCGCCTCCAATATGCAAAAAGGTCTTGGATGGGGAATAGGCAGCGCCGCGACCCTACTCCGTACCAAGCCCGGACCTCAGAATGGCCTCAACTCCACCCCATGCATGACCGCTGGGTTCTGGGGCAGAAATGACGGGGTAGGTAAGGGGTGGCGGGCGGCTCTGCTAAGTCACTTCCACTTTCACTCTTCCCTTGCCTCGGCCAACTTGTGCCTCGTTGACTTTCTGTTACCAGTCGCACCAGTCTCGCTTGTCCCTGCTCTTCTCTGCCTTGCTTCAGGGCCGCTTCTCTCGGCCGCAGCGGTGTTTGCTTGTTGATTTGTTGACTTGTACGGAGTACCGCAGGCTTTCCCACAGACCCTGCCATGCGAAGAATTGGGTTTGGATCCGAATACATACTGGTGCTCGCTGACAGCTGGCATCGACGCCGGGTCATCCCAGCGCCATCATCATTTCGATTTATCGCCATGTCCCTTGCGTCCATCAAGTGAACGTCGAGGTCAACAAGGTCGCCGACGTTTCTCTCGCCCGAGTCCACGATGAGCAAAGACACTTTTGAAAAGGCGGATAGATGGCAGGGTCCAAGGTACGCAGGCTTGTACGCCGGTAGTCGACACTAACACTAACGTAGGCACTCGACTCACCCGGTCCTCGGTTGATCCCGGGAATCCTTCTCCCGTCACCATAGCGCTCAGCTCGTCTTCCTTTCTTTTCTTTGGGAACCCCCAATCCTGTTTTACAGACTCAGGACCGACAGAGTACCCGCCTCTCTTATCGTCGTCTCTCCACGGGCGGCAACTTTGTAACGCGCCGGATCTAGCCTCCAGCAGCTCCTCTAAACGGCACTGTCCGAGAAACCGATCTCTCGCCCATATACCAAGGTAGGCAAGCGTGGCAAGGCAAACCCCCAAGGACCTACTCCATCTGGCTTGCCGCTTCGTTGCCTGTCAATGTTGTCGTGATCCCACCCCTGGCGGCATGTGCGGCAATCCCAAATCGAGCAGCCAAGCAGCAAGCAACCTTTCCCCGGGCAAACGAGTCATCGCACCGATCGCCAATGAACTAGCAACCTGCACATCCATCAGCCAGCCTGGCAGCCAGCCCCCTTATCAGCATCACCACCATCGTCTTTGGTGCTTCAGGTTAGTTGCCATTATCATTATCAGTGCCACTGCCACCCGACTCGTGATATCTGCAGATAACGATAAGACCATGCTCCGGCCCGGGCTCCACTCCTCTCCCCCGCACCCGTTCAACGTAAGGCAAGTCAACCGCGCACCACAACGCATCACACACCACGCAACTCATGGTGACTGTGGTTCTGGCGCAGTGGCACGCTGCATCCGAACCGGCGTCTGCAGATCGGACCCATCTCCCGAAAGTACCACACGTTTCCTCCCCTTTTTACACTTGCGTATAGATACGCTCTGTGAGACCTGTACATCGGAGGAGAAAGCGGGCACGGCATCATGGTAAAATCGCCGATGCGGAGGAAGAGGGCCTTCTGCTTCTTGCTTAGTAGGTAGCTCCAAGTATACCGTTCTTGGCAACGTTTCTGCCTCCCCCACCGGTCACATGGCATCACCTCCCATCTAGCAAAAGGACAAGTCCGTTACCAAGCCAATGCCTTAGCGCTCAATGGTGAACGAGAACCTGAATCGTGCAAGTCTTGTCAAAATCTTTGAGAAGCGGTCGGCGGCAGTGGGTGCAACATGTAGGAGTGAAGAAGTCTCTTTCTCTTTCCGTCTGTCTGTCTTCTCATTTCGTCTATTGTGACCAAGCGAAAAGCAATTTGATAACATTTGGCAACCACACAAAGTTGGTGTCCGCCAATGCTCGTGTAAAATAGAAAACCCAATTCCCCTGTTTCCCAAATGTAAAACCATGCCTCGAGGTTTTTTCGGGCTCCGTGACACCTTGAAACGCCCTAGAAAATCAGTTATAAACAAGACGCAAAAAATCACGATGTAGATGCCGCTGCGGATGCCGATGCTTTCCCACCTCTCCCCCGGTTACGGTGACCACGCCCTCGGGGGTTATTCGCCGGGCCACCGGGCGCCTTGGCCGGTGGTGCCCCTCCGGCATCGACATTACCGGCGTTGCTGGCGGCGGCGGCGCTGTGTTCTTGACCCGGAGGAGCGCCACCAGATGCTTTGCCCTTGGCGACGCCCCGGCCCCGACGCCCTCGTTTGCTGCTGCTGCCGCCTCCGCCGCCGCCGTCCTTCTGCGCCCTACCCTCCCTCGCCGTCTTATCCTTGGTCTCCCGCCTCGCCTCCTGCTCCTGCACCCGCCGCGTCTCCTGGTCCCACCACTCCTGGAACTCCTGCTCCTGCTGGATCTCCTGCATCGACCTCTTCGCCACAGCTTCCTTGACAATCTCTTGTTCCCGCTTCTGCTGGCCGATGATGTCTGCCATACTCAATCCCAAAATGGGCTCGGCCTTGTTCGCGGGTGTAATGTAAGATTTGGAGTGCGGGACCAGCGGCTTCGACGACGCGGGTTGACTTGTCGAGGCGCCGGCCACGGCAGGGGAGGAGCTGCTGACGCGGGATTGGCCCGGGAACCGCGTGTCCGGCGAAGCTGCCCTCCGCGGTGAAGATCTCGCAGAGCTCTCGACTGAGAGCAGCGGCTTTGAAGTTGGGCTGTCCACTGGCGGTGATGCCGGTTTAGCCAAGCCCTTGGCCAGGGTATCTTTCAACGACGTCTTGGGCCCGCTCGTGACAGGCTTCCAGGGGGCAGGTTTGTTGCCAGCTGCGTCCTTGTCCCAGGCTACTTTCGGCTGTGACACCTCAGCCTCGAGAGCCGCCTGAGCGGCGGCCTGGGCTAGGTGTTGCTTCTTTCGCTCCTTTTGCGATACCTTGGGCTGCACGAGCTTGGGCGAAGCCTCCTTGCTCTTTTGCGCGGCAATGCCAGCGGACAAGGCGGACTTTGTTGGCGTCTCCGTCAGAACTCGACGCAGGTCCATCTTTTGGGTTGGGAATGCCGCTGCCGCCCACGGGCTGCCAGATCTTTGGGCAGTCGGCCCACGTGAGTCTGCCGGCGAAGGGCTCATGCCGAGGTTGGCGGATGTACCCATCGGGGGGCTTTGCACTGGGTATTGCGGCGAACCTGCCTGGACCTTGGTGTCTTTCCAGGGACTAGACAACGACGGAATCCGGTCCAATTCGGACTGGCTCTTTGCCTCAGCAGCCCTTTGCGTGGGTGATACTGTAGGGCTACCTAGAGCAGAAGGTCCCTCGTCGTCCATGTTGAACATCAAATCGGCATGGGATTCCTTGGGTCTGAGGCTGGGACTGAACGGCTCGTTGCGGCCAGTCTTGGACTTGCGCCGAGATTTGTCCAAACTGGGAGAGGTAATGCCGGACAAGTCTTCAAGGCTGCCGAATTTGGTCTTGAAGGATGATGAAATCTTCTTTTCGTCGTCTCGTTGCGTAGTCCGGAAAGCCATCTCGCGCACTCTCCGACGGCGTTCCTCGTCAATATCGAGAGCCAGATCGGGGTCCTTTTCAAACAAGAGCAGCTCGGCCCGTCCACTTCTGGCGAAAGGATAGCGAGCTAGCTGATTTTCTCGGACGACGTTATCCAGCTCCTCTAGGAGATCCTCCTCCAAGCCATCCAAAAAGTGGTTTTCCAGCACAGCCTCCATTTGCAGACAAATGTACTCCAGCCCCGCGTCTTTGAACTCCGTAATAGAGCATGCGCTGATCTCGTTGAGCAGCAGAGCGATGTTTCGAGTATTGGCGAAACGTGCAATTACGTACTGGCAGATCTGGGACAACCGGTCTAGCATGAGTTCGTTTGCAATACTCATGACGCTCATTACCAGGTCAGAGAAATCGTCAATATTGGCTGATGTGGTCTGGTTGAAGAGTTCCGTCCCAACGTCTGCGTAGAGGTATCGTAAGACATATTGGAACGCCTCAGGATCACAATGACTCAGGTCCACCCGGACAAGTTCTTCCTCGTCTAGTTCATCGCGACGGCCAGCAAGCCACATGCCGCCGGCTCGCCCATGGAACAGGCCTTCGAAGAACTCGCATCTCTGGCGCAGCAACTGGCTGTGAACCGGTACCTCTTCGCCGTCGAGCTCAACAAGAGCATCCGCGTCTTCAAAGTACCTGAGGTCCTGAATGGCTTTGGCAAAGTCCTTGTCCAGGGACTTTTCCGCAGTCGTCTGCAGACGAACAGCCGACTCCAGCTTCATCATGTCAAGCTTCGTCGCAAGCTTCATCAGCTCATTCCGAACCTGGCGATACCTGTGGGCTAGAGCAGGTGCTTGGCGAGTGTGATTCCATGCCGGGACGACGGTGTCATCATAAAGATAGACGGCCAAGTTCACTATAGACAGCAGGTCGACCGATTCGAGGGTGATTATCGTCCTCCCATCTCCCTCTTCGAGACTTAGCACTTGCGGGATGTCCCCCTGACCACCATTGCGATAGTCGCTGAGCAAACTTCGCAGAACAGAGCTTCGGGCAGTCAAGATCCATGAGTGCACCGGTATCTTGACATCTGGGTATGACGAGGTGCGAATCTCCATGTCAACATCTGAGTTCGGGTACATCAGGAGAAATTGTCGTAAGTCACGCTCTAGATCCACGGACTTGAGGAGTTCGTACGGCAGCTCCCCTATCCGATACTTCAGTTCCTCGGCTTTCCAGAAACCGATCGTGTCCTTGTCGCCGGGATTGGGTCTCGATGCCTGAAACTCTCGTAGTGCGAACAGGGAGGCAAAGTCCTCCCAGAGCGACTGCTCGTTGATGCTGATTTGTTCCTTCATGACATCACAATCCTTGCGAATTGCCGCGAATGCACCAAACGTGGAGCTCCGCACAGCAACAGCATTGGTGATACTCGGTACACGCTGGAACTTGAAATCCTTTCTCTTGATGTCTGCTGACCCCGGGGTGGCAGCATCCTTCGCTTTAGCGCGCTTGATACGACGCCAAACGGCTCCAGAGTCTGTGCAGAT